GCAAAGATGTTTTTGCACGGTTTGGTCAATGCTAGTAGCTTTTAAAAAAGCAGGGTGGGTTGGGGAGCGGGCCGTCCAAATTCTTGGCTGTGAGCATATTAGTAGGGTAGAGTTCTGAGTGAAGACATTTAGAAAAAATGTCTGTTTCTGAAGACTTTTAAGCTGATAAACATAAAACCTTAACCCTTTTAACTCTTATTTACTCCCTCCTTGAAACTGGAGTTATCTGTTAATAGTAGATGTACATGGTTTTAACTAGCTGCAGTTTTGCTGTCTTGGTGTCCTCGTATGAGACATTTTTCAAGATGAGTTGCCTTTACTAATTAGAATAAAATCAAGGCAATAATCAAGAGGTGACATCTTTTACTGTAAGGCAGGAGGCTTTTCCTCAATACTATCCACTTTGGCTTGTGTCACCACCAGCACTGTGCTCTTAGGTAGGGGAATTTACTTTACTAGAGCCTTTTGATTTTCAGAGAATATTATTTTCTGTGTTTGCCCTGCAGTTCTTGACTAAAACGTTTGTGATGGAGATGACCTGTGCAATGGCTGACTAAATAAGTCAGTCCAGCATCCTAGGACTGGGATGCTAGTTCTGATACTAAATTTGTATTACCTTGAACTCGAGTAGGAGCTGCAGAGATTCTTTATGCTTCTGCTAGTTAATAAGGCTGTTGCTTTGTATGCATGTCCACCTAGGAGCAGATTAGATTTAGTAAATACAAAGACACAAGAACCAGAGAAATGTTTTGACTTAAGCTGTGTGGAAGCTGGAAAGAAAAGGACTGGAAGAGGCATGAGCAAGTTCACTGTAAGACTGGTTAAGCCGGAGCTATAATTTCTTAAATATTACATTAGCTGAAGATTATTTTCTTAGGCTCCTGTGACAGTTCTAAGAAAAACACAAGAGTCACTTTTGCAAGGGGACTCAGGATACAAAAGTGAAAAATGTTTGCTGTGGTGACTCAGCCCTGCAGTGTGTTTTTTTTTTTCCAGCTCTGAGCAAAGACCTGTGGTACTAACTTCCAAATCCAGATTCACCTTTTCTGTTTCTGTCCTGGACCTCGACCTCAAACCGTATGAAAGCATTCCTCATCAGTACAAACTCGATGGCAAGATCGTAAACTATTACCTGAAGAATGTACAGGCCAAAGATGACCCTGTTATGTCCAGCCTCTTCAAGGAGAATGAAGACTGCACATTAGTTCTCCATAAAGTGTAACTGTTTCCTTAAGGTTATTTTTGTTCAAACACATTAGAAAGTGAAAGATTAATGGGATAGAGTTATGGTGATTTTTTTTCCTGTTGCGTTTGGTGCATTCTTCAGCTGTGAATGTTTTTGCTTTCAGAAATGATTTCCAATTGGTCTGCCTTTTCAAGGACATGGAACAGCACTAAGCACTAAGCCATGCATTTGCTGTAGAACCTTAATGAATGTATTTACTAGGACAGAACAGATAACGTGCCATACCTTGGAACAAGTGGACAGATCAGATTCAAACTAAAAATCTGCTTCCTTAGAATTGAAAGAGCACAGAATTAAAGGTTTCATCAAGTATCGCACTAACATAGAAAGCCTAATTACTAACAAGAGAATTGCCTTGGAGCTTGTGCTTTGAGTCTTACTCATGCCTGCTAGGAAGAGAGAACGCTCCGACAAAACCGAATATAAAACTTTAGCATTAAGTCTACTGAAAATACAACTGAAGTGGCTCCTCCAGTGTTACTGATCTATGGCAGTACCGTGTTGCTGCAGAACACTTTTAAATACTCATGTGTGAGATTAAGAGCACCAGGCTGTCTCCAGAATTTGTGTGATCACCTAAAGCTTCTGAAATTTAGTGAGGCAGGTTAAAGGTAAGCATCTTTGTTCTGTGTGATACCTGGGCTTAACTTGCCTGACATACTGGTCTTTTATTTTCTAAACATAATATGCTGCTATTGAAGGTGAAACCCCAGCTCACTCTGACCTAATTGAAATTGAGCTATAGGAATAATATGTTCTGAGTTTTGCAGATTATTTGAGGTCTTTCAGATTCTATCAAGCGTTGGCATTATTGCAGTGATGTCCCACATACTGTGTAGCATGAGCAGCTGCTTTCAGGCTCATTCTTTGTAAGTGACAGAAAAAAGGTGATGGTGTCTGACTTCTGCAGGGGGTCAGTTTCTTACAAGGAGTACTGGAGCTCAGCTTGTCTTGCTACTTCAGCAATTTAACCATGCCTTTACTAGGTAAACATTGGCGTGTGCAGCTGAAGTCTTGCGCGGTGTTGCAGTAAAAGCCCTCCTCGAGGAGACCCCGAGTTGGAGACTGAGGTACGTTCAAAACTGAGGGTAGTACAGTAAAGGCTACAGACACTTTTCCCATGTGTTGGGGTGTGCAGAGATTCTGTCCAAGCTGCAGGGAGCTTCTGTCACCAGCATACAGTGTGTGCTCACTGGGAATGTTACAAAATAATGCAGGTTAACATTTAAAAAATATAGTTACATTGGGATCTCAGTGTAACGTTTGAATTGTTCCATTTTACCTGAAATTCAAAAAGCAAACCCAGAAAGCCCTGTGCCTACTGGCAGAGCTCCAGGAAGCAGCAATGAACATCCCTGAGGGCACGCAGCCCTGCGGTGGGCAGTTCCGTGCTGGCAGCCCTGGTGCTCTGCTCCCAGCTGCCTTTCTGAGCCAGGGGCTGCTCTCACTGAGACATGGCACTACAGCGGTGCAATAAACTGGTAGCTGACAGTGCTGACAACCCCTTTTCCCTAAGAAAACCTCAAGGGAGAGAGATTTTTTGAATTCAGAAATCCTCCCACTGGTGGACATGGGGAGGAAGGAAAGGACTGCCCCTTGTTGGGAAGTTTCCAGGGTTTTTATGCAGTAACTTTACACACAATTCGTATGCAATTAGAAGGGTTTAATTTTCATGCGAGAAGGAGCTAAGGATGAAATAAACTAAAGGTTACTCAAAACTGGCTAAGCCAGTAACGGAAGTAGCAGTGAATTCTGCCTGTCTACTGGATTCCAAACTTGAGATTAGTCTGCCTTACATCTAAACAAGATACTTTATTGTAGAGTTGCCATTCATCAAAACTTAATCTCTGGCATTGCTCAGCTGTAGGTTCTAACAGAAGCTAATCTTGTCTGTCAGTTTTTCCTGGCCTACCACAAGAGTGGGAGACTATTTCAGTGATCACATAGTGGATTATTAAAATGACAGCATTATAAACATACTGTTGCTTTAGCTCTTGATTTCTCCACCTATTTCACCATTGCCATAAAATAGGTTGTTGTAACTTACCGGTGGAGCAGGCAGGTGTACTGCTTGCGTGGTTACAGCAGCTGTGGACTTGAAGCCTCGTAATACTATTTGAGAGTCCACAGTTTGTGGTTTTGGCCCTTTGACTCCAGGAACTGTTGCTCCTTACTCAAGAAGGATGTGACTTACACCTGTAGTGGTCTGCCTTGGATAAGGCAGTGTGGTTCACAGGATGTTAGGGGTTGGAAAGGACCTCTGGAGATGAGTCCAACCCCCCTGCCAGAGCAGGACCATCTGGTCTAGGGCAGGTCACACAGGAACGCATCCAGATGGGTCTGAAAAGTCTCCAAGGCAGGAGACTCCACAACCTCCCTAGGGAGCCTGTTCCAGTGCTCTGTAACCCTTACAGTAAAGTTCTTCCTCATGTTGAGGTGGAACTTCCTGTGCTCCAGCTTGTAGCTATTGCCTCTTGTCCTATCACAGGGTACAAGTGAAAACAGGTTTCCCCTTTCTTCTTGACACCCAGGCCTCATATATTTATACGCATTAATTAGATCCCCCCTAAGTCTTCTCCAGACTAAAAGGCCCCAGCTCTCTCAGCCTCTCCTCATAAGGCAGGTGTGTTCCAGTCCCCCAATCATCCTCGTAGCCTCTGCTGGACTCTCTCAAGTAGATCTCTGTCCCTCTGGAAATGGGGAGCCCAGAAATGAACACAATACTCCAGGTGAGGTCTCACCAGGGCAGAGTAGAAGGGGAGGAGGCCCTCACTTGTTCTGCTGGACACACTTTTCTTCAGGCACCCAGGATACCATTGGCCCTCTTAGCCACAAGGGCACAGTGCTGCCACTGATTGTGATAGTGCAGGGTAGGAACTCTCCTAAACACGCCGAGGGCTCACAAGTGAGCTAATGGTATGCAGGAGGGAAGTGAAGGAGGATGACAAAGACGTGTCCAATCTGGTTTTGTTTCTTCAGGGATGAATGTATGAAATGTGATGCTTTTGTAACCTGTCAGCTACCGGGAGATTCCCGCAGGAGTAGGAAAGCGAAAGGAAGCGTGGCGGCACGTGGTAGTTAACTGGTCCCTCTCTCTCTCTCTCTCTCTCTCTCTCTCGGAGTGTAGTGGCCCCTTCCTGTTTGGTTTAATGCTGTCTTTACTCAACACTTACATTGCGGAAGAAAGTTAATTCATACAGTTT